TCAATTTTTCTCACAACAATTTGTTTGTCAATTTCAAACTGAATGTGGATGAACAAGTAAGCGAGAGTAGCTATAAAGTCTTTGAAAAAAAATGAGTGAAAATTTGCTCTTTCATTATAATAAAACATTTAAAAAGCAACAATAATTAAAACAGAATGATATAAATCTCAGTGGAACAGAATTATAGGGTTCAGACTGTTTCCAATATATGTAAGAATTTATATTACAAACCCAATGGCTAAGGGATAGGGTAGTTTTCTTTCTGTTTTTAGAGCTAGGTCTCCCTCTGTCACACAGGCTGGCATGCACTGTCTGGATCATAGTGCACTATAGCCTCAAACACAGGGCTCAAGTCATCCTCATACCTGTCTCTTGAGTAGCTGAGATTATAGGCGTGAACAACCACGCCTGGCAGGAGTATGGTATTGCAATAAATATTGGGAAACCTGGATAGCTGTTGGGGGAGAGAGGGTAGACTTTCATTTCAAATCATTAACCAAAATAGTTTCTAGAAGGATTTAAAGAGAATGAAAGAAAAACAAAAATCCAAACAACTTAAAAACTAGAAAAAATTTGAATATTATTGGACCTGTAAGTGTGGAAGGACTCAAGCTTAAAACAGTGACAGAAATTCAAGGATTTGACTATGTAACGTCTTGTGTCAAAAACATATTTGCAGGCCAGGTGTGGTGGCTCATGCCTATAATCCCAGCGCTTTGGGAGGCAGAGGCAGGAGGATTGCTTGAGGCCAGGAGTTCTAGACTAGCCGAGGCAACATAGCAAGACTTTGTCTCTTCTAAAAAAAGAAAAATGCAAAAATTAGCTGGGCGTGGTGGCACGTGCCTTTAGTCCCAGCCACTTGGGAGGCTGACATGGAAGGTTCACATGAGCCCAGGAGGTTGAGGCGGCAGTGAGCTGTGACGGTGCCACTGCAATTCAGCTTGGGTGATGGAGTAAGACTGTTTAAAAAAACAAAAACAAAATCAGACCAAAAAACACTCCCTAAAATATTTGCAATAAACATGAAAGGCAAAGTGTTACCGTTCTTAATATAGAAAAGGTTAACATAAATTAATAAGAAATTAAAGTTTCAAAGAAAAATGAGCACAGAAAAAAGAAAATTCAGAAAATAGACAATTCATTAAGTGAGAAAATATAAATGACTAATAATTAAAGAAAGTTCAGTCTCACTGACAATCAAAGAAATGCAAATGAAACAAGGAGGTACAACCTTTCAGTTTCAGCAAAGATTTCAGAGATCATAATTAACACTCAATACTGCTTAGGGTGTGTTGAGATAGCTTTCATACTAAACCTCCCTATGAGGTAATTTCCTATTATTAGGCTCATTTTATAGATGTAGAAACTGAGCTTCAGTAGGATTCAGTAATTTGCCCAAGTTTATACAGCTAGTAAGTAGTGGCACCAGGATTTGGACCTGAGCTGTATGACTCTACCATAGAAAGGGGCCTAGAAAATAGTTTCAGGAAGGAGAAGTGAACAGGGGTTATACAGCTTGAAGAGCCAGACAAAAATATTTGAAGTGCCACATGGAAGAGTGAATGGGCTTAGATGATATTGCAAGGGGAGCAATGAGTGGAAATTACACAAACTCCCACTCTTCAAGCAAGAACTTTCTCTAAAAGGACTAAGTGGCCGAGGAAGGCAGTGAGGACACCCAGCCCCCAAGAGGCCAAGGAAGCTGATGGTTATGGGGTCTTTTTGCCTAATCTTCACACAGGCTGCAGGGGGTGGGTGGTTTCATCTGCTAGAGGAGAAAACATAGCTCTAGGATTGGCCAAGACCTACGTCTTCGGTATGGTATTTTTGTTCTTTTCTCAACTGCAGATAGCTAGCAGACCCGCCCTTTCCCTCTAGGGCCAAGTGACCCATGGGGGAGCCCAGACGGCTTCATTGCCTTCCTACAGCCAACCATAATCCTGAGCCAGCAGGAAGCTTGAGCTTGCCAAACTGCCAGGGCCAGAACAGGAGGAAGGAGAGTGGGAGGTGAGGCGGTGTAGCCATCTGAGTTCTCTTGTGCCCTTTCTTGGAGTTCTACTACTCCGTGGTGGGATAGGGGAGAGGAGGGAGGTGGGAGTCATGTTGGAGAGCAGGCAAACAGGTGAAACAGAACCATTCAAGGAGTGACAAATTAATGTTACTTGAAGTTTGGTAAAGATAGTGTCATTTGCAAAGCCCTTGGGGAATCTACTTTTTTTTTTTTTTTTTTT